GTGATATATAGAGATTTGTTTCTAGCATCTTATTTTGCGAATTAAATTCAGCTTTTTCAGGAAATGCTTATTTTTTTGTCCATTTTTAGATAGATTGCTTCTTGGTTTTACTCCACTTTCAAAATATTTTGTCTCCTTTAAAGTTATACACAAAATTTCTGTTTATTTAAGAGTTAATTTTAAATGATTAACATGCATGTTTATCTTTAAAAAGTCGAAAATTAACCAATATTTCTACACCCATCCTGAAAAATACAAAGGCTTTAGAACAAGAAATTCTCCCTGGCCCTTGGCATTTTACAAGATAACCTTAGGCATATTTATGATTCTAATTTTCTATAAAAGCAAGACTTCTGAAATTCAAAGCATTGCAAACCAAAACGAAAATTCAATTTGCTCATAACGCCAAAAAGGAGGAACAGATACTTTAAAGAAATTGCTTTTGAAATAGAATTTTTTTCTAATTATTTTTTATGACCTTTTTTTTCTATTACTTTTGGCTCATATCCTTTATTAAACTACTTCAAATAATTCTGATTATTTCAAAGATTAAACAATATAATTGATTTCTGTATTTGATCTCGCTGAAATTGCATGATGATATTGATTACAGTACACAATGAGTAACCACCACATGTCTAGAAGCACATGTAACCGTAGAACAAAGTGAAGATGCAGAAGCCATAAAATGGGTCCCAAAACAGTGGCAACACGAAAGCTAAACAGAACCAAACAGAAACAAAACCAAAAGTGACCGCTATTACAAAAATGTAGAACCTTGACGTCTCCTTAGCCCAGGAGCTTTATCACTTCATAATCTCTATTAGCATGACACTCCCAAATAAATATTTTACTCTATGCAAGAGTGTTGTGCTTGTCACACAGAGAACTTCAAGGCTTATTCCTACCCACTTTCCGAATAGATGCAGTGCCTACTCCCTGTGATGTAAGTCTGGTCCCCATCCACATTGATCCACATTGATACTAGGCATTATTGAAGTAACTCTTCTGTGAAAGTAATTTGCAGTTTTTTATCTTTGAGAGGGGGCAGATGGTATTCAGCATAGTAGTCTTAGACCATTTCATAGAAGAAAAGATTGTCATCTCAGTAACCTGAGAGAATTTACCTGAATGACAGCCTGGCACAGTAACGAATCAAAACAAAGTTCCCTGTTAAATAACCTGGAAAAAAAAGAAAGAAAGAAAGAAAGACTAATGTATACATAAAAAACAGACTCAATATAGTATATTTAAAAGAAATTTAGATCAAAAAATGTTTTTTTGGGGGGCAAGGGTGTGATTATTATTTACTTAATAAGATAACACATTTCCCATTGGTACTCAGTAGATGAAAGGTTAATTTGGGTATCCATCTAATTTTTAACAATACGTTGTGAATTGTTTGTAATTTTATTTTTCTGACAGTGCAAAAGAGAAACATGTACTTTTGTACTTAGAAATATGGAAAATAACCATGGACAGTTATCTCTCATTAAAATTACTAATAGAAAAAAATGGTTTAGTGAAACGCTTCAATTCCAGCTACAACAGAAAAATATTATCTCAATTTCAAATCTCAAGAAGAATGCTTTTTATTGATGAGGAGTAATATCCATCTGAAATAAAAGTGGCCTACCATTTTGTGACTCTTTGGTGACTAATATGCACCATAATATGTGTATCTTACTGGATTGTCAAGATTGGCCATATACGTTAAAAGCCATACTTACTTTTTAAAAGTGTATAATTGTAATCAACTCTTTTGAAAGTGAATAAACTCTTCTCTCTACTATAGACATTTTTTTTTAGCAAAAGGTTAAAAGTATTTGACTTATGTCTGCTGTCAGGTCCAATGATTATGAGTCTGTCCTAATGAAGTATTTTGAAGTGTTCAGCTATTTATTTAAATAACATTTACCATTTTTTAAAAAAGTTTTAATATAGGTGATACACAGAAAATTTGAAAACCGCATAAAAGTACAAGGGAAAAATAATCCTCACGTCACTCATTTTCTTCATTACCTCTTGGTTGTAACACTAATTTCAGAGTATTGTCCTTTGATAATTTTTTTATTTGATTTCAATTTTCTTATATTTTTCACTAGGCATTCCTTGGTCCTTTTATATTATGATTGCTTATAGTAAGCTTTCTTGTTTTATCTCATCCTTGTAATCAGATCTGAAGGATGACTGTGTATCTCCTTTCTACTCATTTATTTATTCAACATATATTTATTAATATCCATGTGTGAAAGACTGCATGGGAAAATATGAGTCAATGAGCAAAGCTCATACTCTTATGAAACTTACTAACTAAAGATAAAGTATTGAATTTTGGTTGTCAACCCACAAGATCAGGAGCCATGGTTAATTCATTTTTTTTAATCTATAAAACCAGCATAGGATCTGTTTCTTTGTGCATACACAATAGATAATAGATAGATACTTACATGTGATGAATAAATAACTGTTATTGAACGAGCAGTTATTTGTCTCTTGCCATATTTCTAATAGTAGAGATTGGATAAGTAGGATTTTGCTTGCTTGGTTGTGAAGTTCTGTATTAAAATGTAACATTTGTATCATGCTTATCAATTAGAATATTATTGCATTATCTCAAAGGGTTCCTTGAAGCCCAAGTAAAGCAATAAATACGCATAATTAAAAAAGAAGGAAGATGTTGGTGTTATTTATGTGAAGCTCTTGCTGTGTTGAGGTCTTCATTGAGAAAGCAAACATTTAGTAGCCTCAGGCATCTAAAACATGACTGTTATTGAAAACAATGGCTTTTAGTTTTCAAATATCTGTTGAATATTCTTAATGCACAAATAATTATTTAGTTTTGAGCGAGCATACGAAAAGATATAAAATGCAGCAGAAGATAAGTTCACAGATGAGTTAGAGTCCTGTTTTTAAAAGCTCTCATATTATGCATAGATAATTTTACACACACACAAATACACACATATGTAAATTGTATCTAGAGCTTTCCTGCACTCATCCCCTGGCTAATTAAATTTGTCTTTCACATCTCAAATTAAACATCGCTTTTTAGGATGGAAGTTCCTTCAAACTCTATATATCAGGTTCTTCTTTATGTTTTTTTCATTGCATTCTGCATTATTCCTATACAGCATTCATTGTATTTATAATTACATTGTACTGAGAATTATTTGTCTTTTCATTTGTCTTTTCATTAGACAATAAATATAAAAAAGGCTCAACACACCAACAAAATATCTTGTATAGAGTATGAGCTCAATAAGTATTTATTTCATGCAATAAATTTAATGTAGAAAAGACGATGACCTAAAAGAAAAACAAAGTGTGACAGAAATTTAATTGGAAAGTGAAAACAATTTTAATGTGAGACCTCATAAAATGTTCTATGTAAAGTTTGAAGTGGACCTTTGAGGATGTGTATGAGTGCCGAATATGAAGCTTTATAGACACATCTAGAGGGGATGATACAGTAAAGGTAGATTGGTGGGAGCACAAATGATCAGGGCCAACATAACCGTTAGACACAGTAAACACTGTGTCCAGACCCTATAATACTTTAAGGGGCCCACAAAATGTTTTAATTTTTGATCTAAAGAAAATAAATATTAGAATAATGAATTCAATGTGTGCCAATATAAGCATAAAATGTAATTATA